GAAGCTTGAAGGGAGAGAGAGAGAGAGAGAGAGAGAGAGAGAGAGAGAGAGAGAAAGGCACGGAAGATGCGAGAGAAGCCAAGCTTCACTGGAGAATGATCAGCGAGACGCTTGAGCAACATACGAGTACCTTAATTCTGAAAACGTTTCGCCAACCATTTTCTTCTGTCCAGTACAGAGAAAGGTGAAAGATCAGAGGACTTTGAGGTAATCAGTCCCTCAGCCTAGAGGCGATGTTTTCAGTCCATCAATCTTGATTGTTGGATCATTTGTACGAATTCATTAGAGGACACTACACAGGAGTGAGGCAATTCTTGAATGGGATGCAGCGGGGAAGAGAATGGAGGGAAGACAGAGAATAAGATGATGTAGTGTGCAGCGGGAAAGTGCCGATAAGAGGAGAGGAAACTATTGTGTGTGCTAGATACCTGGAAGGCAATGGAACAGATAATATCTCTGTGTGGGTCGTGAGTGAGAGAGAGAGACGGGGGGGTACTGTTGGAAGCAATGTGTGAGCCACTAGGCACAATCTTCTAGTAAATGTAAACAGAGCATCCTGACAGAGGTGTGCGAGACAACAAATTTAGTCTCAGTATTTAAAAAAAAAGGACAGGCAAGTAGTGTTAAACTACCGGCAAGTGTCACCGACATGTGTAGTATCTAAGGATATGTAGATGACAATATTATCGGGAGAGATGTAGTGGAGCACGTAGCATTCGTAAATAAGAGCCAGTACGGCATCAAAAAAGATAAATTACGTCTCACATATTTACGAGAATTCTACTACAGGAAAACAGAAATAGATTACACATTTTTGGACTTTTGACGCAGTACGACTTAAGAGACCAAGACGGAAGCTAGGGGAATAATCAGGAATAAAATGGAAGACTATAATGGATCAAGGAATACTTAACACAACAAAGGTGATTGTTCGGGAAAAGAATCAAAATGGGAGGGTGTGATGACTGGGTTTCACAAGGATAGGTACAGCGACTGGAACTACTGCTTTTCTTGTGTTCATAAATGACGTGACGGAAGGGATAGTCAGAAGTATCTCTGTTCGCAGATAATGTGAAACTAATGAGAATAAAAGCATGTGAGGACCATGAAAGACTACAAATTAATCTGGACAGTCTGCAGGTTTAGTAAGACAAGGGGCTACCAGAATTTAGCCACAGTGAATACAAAGTTATGAAAATTGCGGATGGGCAAAGAAGACAATGAATGAAGTACAGGTTAGGAAAGAAGGGAGGGGGAGGGCAAATGTTCCAAACCTCATTCCAACAGAATGACCTCGGGAAGAGCACTGTATCCAGGATATCGTCTGAGGAACAACTGAATAACTGCTGCAGGAAATGCTCTTCTGGTACATCTAAGATTAACTTTCAGGAATCTAAAGAAGGAATCATTCACGACACTATTCAGCATATGTCAGGCCCATATTGACATGTGCAGCCCCAACATGAAACCCACGCCTGATCAAGCATCTCCAGAAACTGAACATAATACAGAAGTTTGCCAGGAGACTAGTCCAAGAGCTAAAGCATATATACTATGGGGAGAGATGAATGAAGATAAAACTGAAGACATTATGCTGAGGAAAGAAGTGTTAAGGGCTATATGATAAAAATGTACAGGAATTGATACTGTGAAAAGGGACTGTGTACGAGTACATAGATGCCTACGTCAGACACCGTTGATTCACTGATGGTAGCTACACAATAATCAAGATATTGCAGTCAATTCATTCATTTCAGTCTCCTTTTAAAGTTTATTATCTTTGCAATATACAATATAGCAAATAGATCTTACCACCAAACATGACAGCTAACAAATTAATTGCATCAGGTCGGCAAAGTTGGATCAAAGTTATCATAGCAGTGATGAATTAGATGTGTCCGTTTGCTGCAGTGGTGTTGTTGGGGGGTGACGTTAGGATTAAATTGAGTGGTATGGATGTTTGCACCATTCGTAAAGGCAGTGTGTTGAGATATGTGTGTCCACTATCTCTGAACTACATACTAAAGGATTGAATTTATACCTCATTGAATTATTTTGCTCTTTTGGAGTTGAATTTTTTTTCATAGATGTTTAATAATCTAACTTAGTTTTTAAATAACAATATTGCGACCAGCCGGGGATCGAACCCGAGATATTTAACTAACCCCCCGGGAAGCTAGATAAAGTCCAGTACACCATCATGCTACAGACGTTAGGTACCTAGCAAGTACACTGGGTATGCGACACCTAACACAGACACGTTTGTGTCCGTGGAAAGATACAGGAACTAGTTTCATGCTCTTCCCATTTGGGTACGAGTCTCACCAGGATATGGGAGGAGAAAAAAATTTTTTACTGTTCACACGTAACCCGCACATAGAAGAGAGGAGCTCACGACGACGTTTCGGTCCGACTTGGACCATTTACAAAGTCACCCTAACGAGAAGTGGAGCAGGACGGATATATATAGGCAGGAAGTGGTGTGTAGTAGAAAAGTGGCGGAGGTGTGAAGGAAATAATAGTATGGGGAAGTGTGAGAGAGGAGCCAGTCAAATACTAGGAAAGGGGAGCACAGAAGGAGCTAGGTGCCCACAGAGGGAGAGCAAAAACACAGAGGTGGGGGAAGGGGAAATAATAAAATATTGAAGGAACAGAAACACCAGGCAGAAGATAGAAAGACAACCCAGAAGAGAAAAAAGGAAAGAGGAAAGGGGAAGAGGGAGAAGAAAAAGAAAAAAAAAAGAGGAGGAATCAGGTATCGTGCCTTTTTTTGTTATTAATTGTTCCTGTATATTTCCAAGTCTACAGAAGTGTTCGCGTTAGGAGTGCCATGCCCTGTGTACTTGCTGGGCACCTAATGTTTATTGAATGGTGGCATAGTGGACTAATGCGTCGAGAAATTTACCTAGCTTCCCGGGGAGCTGGTTAATATTTCTCGGGTTCGATCCCCGGCTTGTGGCAATATTGTTATAAGCTTACAAATCACATATTTTGTGGATGCAGCAAGTTTATATACAAGAACTTCTTGATGCCTTGTTGCTGCTTTTTCATTATTATTATTATTATTATTATTATTATTATTATTATTATTATTATTATAACTAAGCATTACACACATGAGTCTGCTTTCTTCATAAAAATATCTGACTTGACATATTTCAGTATAATGGCCACTGAATTATTTTATCATATTTTAATTTTTTCTTTTTTTAAGGTTCTTTTAATAGTTTCTTACAATGGTTTTTAAATTTCTGTTTCAGAGAAGAAAATTACATTAGGCAATCTCTCTGTGCTCCTGGAAGCTAATGTGAAATCGAATTAGCATAATTTTTTGGTTGAAAATTTGTTAATATGTGAAACCTGAGATCCTTTAGAGACGGATTCAAAGACAATTAAGCTGGTTATTATTTCATGTTTGTAGGCTTAGATTACATTTGTATACACTGATGTATATTATAATACAAAGATAACCGGAACCTGGGAGACAAACTTATGACGATGTTTAGGTCTGACTTGGACTATTAGGTAGTCGCAGGGGGACGGGAGAGGTACAATGGGGAAAGGGGTAATATTTTAGAAGCAGTAGTAGTAGCAGTAGTATTAGCACAGTAGTAGTAGTAGTAGCAGCAGCAGTAATATAGTAGTAGTGCAAGGAATATTAGCGAAGAAATAGTAGTAGTAGCAGAGGTAATAGTGGAGGTAGTCTATAGGAACAAGAAAGCAGAGGAACACTGCAGGAGAGCTAATGGTCCACTGGGGTAGAACAAAATCCCTGCGGCACGAAAACTCCCATACGCCAGACCACATCTATGCAGGAAACTGAAAAGGTAATGAAAATACAGAATAGGAAGGATGAAGTCTTAAGGGGAGAAGGCGATAAACATTAGGTCAAGTCACGAGTGTTCTGAAGTTTGGAGCGTTTGACAATGTAATTAGAAACGAATGCATCAACAGAGACAAAACTAGGACTAAGATTCATTACTAACGTTCCATTTATATATATATATATATATATATATATATATATATATATATATATATATATATATATGTCGTGCCGAATAGGCAGAACTTGCGATCTTGGCTTAAAAAGCAACGCTCATCTTGCCATATAGGACAAGTGAAAATTTGTGTATGCAATAATTTCGCCAAAATCATTCTGAACCTAACGAAAAAAATATATTTCACTGCGTTTGTTTAGTATTAAATTATTGTAAATAAATGTAAAATATATTTAGTTAGGTTAGGCTAAAATAAATTGCGCTTGTTATAAGGTTAGGTAAGTCTTCTAAGTTCCTTTTGGTGCAAAATTGTAAATTTTTACATCAACATTAATGAAAAAATATATCTTTAAACGTATAAAAGAAAATTTTAGAAAAGACTTGATTTTAAATGAGTATTTGCTAATTGGCCAGTTTTACATATTCGCACGACATATATATATATATATATATATATATATAAATATAATAAAATATATGTCGTGCCGAATATGTAAAACTGGTCAATTAGCAAGAACTCATTTAAAATTAAGTCCTTTCTAAAATTTTCTCTTATACGTTTAAAGATATATTTTTTTCATTAATGTTAATGAAAAAATTTTTAATTTTGCTCCAAAAGAATCTTAGAAAACTTGCCTAACCTTATTATAACAAGAACAATTTATTTTAGCCTAACCCAACTAAATATATTTTAGATTTGTTTACAGTAATTTAATACTAAACAAACACAGTGGAATATATTTTTTTTCGTTAGGTTCAGAATGATTTTGGCGAAATTATTGCATACACAAATTTTCACTTGTCCTATATGGCAAGATGAGCGTTGCTATTTAAGCCAAGATGGCAAGTTCTGCCTATTCGGCACGACATATATATATATATATATATATATATATATATAATATATATATATATATATATATATATATATATATATATATTTATATATATATATTGTGTAAATGTATGTATGTGTTATATTAATGTACATATATGCAGGTATGTGGACAAGATCCACCTGGTGTACCAGTGGATACCGCCGCTGCGGCCTCAGGCCCTGGGAGTGCTCAGTGGACGCGTCAACACAACATACGAGGCCTCGCGGGATCCTTGGGCAGTTCACCGCGCCCTTTACATCCCTCATCCAGATCCCACGCTCTCTGGCCAGTACTCTTGCACTGTCAGCACCTTCGAGGATGAGGACACCCGCACCGCGCACCTCCTAGTCTGGAGTGAGTTGCTCTCTTGGCTTTTTCTTGTAAAGTTTACTTTTATTGTACGTTTATGTTTGCATTCAAACCTGTTTTAAGAAAACGTGTGCCCTTTCTCACATGTTTATGCTTATTCTCATTACTGAGAGATCAAAGGTAATTTATATTTTTAATTTTTGATTAGATATTTGTAACATAGAACTAAGTTTACTGGGTTATTTTTTTATACAGCCACGTATGTAGCCAACTTAAAAAAAAGAAGTATTGAGAATTTAAGTACTGAAGAAAGTTTAAGATTGTATCGCATCACAGTAAAATTATTAAAATAAAGGTGATGTGGAATCTGTAACATTATATTAATAAGATTTCCATATTTATTTGCTTAAGTATCACTAAAGTTTGTCATCTGTGTTATTGTTACTGACGTAGAAAGTACAATTAGTCTCTGATGGTGACACCTCCAGAAAGCATCATTGATGCCTGTGGGGGGTGGGGGCTTTTAAGTCTTTAAGGCTTTAAGTCTTCAACTGCACATAAATGTCTTTCTACATCTTGTCTGTATCACTTTAACATTGTTCGCTAATGGAGGTCGACCACAGTCCACGGCTTCTACTGAAAAAGTGCTTTTAGTTTTTAATATTCTGCAACTAATAGCATGAAGGGCTCTCTCGCTGGACACACTTCAGTGGGTTCGAGTCCCTGAATATCCCAAAATTTCGAATCTCAAAACTCCTTCATGAGAATACTTCTGAAGTTTTTTGCTAAATACAAAAGCAAATACATCAAACTAGTCGGGTGAAAACTAGTGTAAACATCTAATAAAAAAGAAGCAATAAACCTACAAGGGTTAGACAGTGCAGCAGGGCAGGGAAGGATACAGGGGTATTGGGTAGCAATAGGGGGGAGGGATTATTATTAGGTCATGCAGTGCAGCAGGGCAGTGGATAATGCAAGGGTAGAGAGTAGCAAGAGGGAGAGTTAGGGCTGTGAGGAGTGCTAGACAGTAAATCACTTGCTGTCAAAAGTCAATGAGAGAATCTGGGTTAAAGGAGGATCCATCAGCAAGAAGGGAAGGTAAAGTAAGGACAGTAGAGCGGTGTGGAGTTTGCATCTACAACATAAAATAATGGCTAACATGAAACAGGGCACCTTCTCTCTGAATACCCATGAGTAAACGAGTGTGCCGATGCGAAACGGGAAAGTGTAGTCTCTAATCCTCGACATTGATGACAAGAAGACCTATACCTGGTTAACAGAATGCAATTTGTTATGTAGCAGATCAGACCAACGTTGTTGCCAACGGGTGCAAAGGTGTGTAGCAATTACAGCAAAATAGTCTGTGCCTGGAACACCGTTATGTGAAACTTGGAGGTCATGTACTGTTGACCATGCAGCAGTGTCAGCCTGTTCATTGCCTTGTACATCAAAATGACTGGGAACCCAACAAAAAACAATATCTTTGTGCTTCTCCAAGTTGTCACATGCCTCCTCATGGTCAAAAAAGATGGTGATAACCGAGTGGTTATTGACAAAAACATTACGAATATATGTGTCTAAGTGAAGTAAGGGGTCAATAGTAAAATAGCCCTTACGAAAGCCAATTGACTA